TCAAAGTAGATCATTGACTTGATCCATGTTGGAGGAAGAATAAAATAGTCCTTTTTGTCACTAGAAACATGTGTTCATAGTTACAAGCAAAACCTTTCCATCACATGCAGATTTAATGTAAGCGAACACGTGTTTTGATCTCACAGTTTACAATGGATTGAACAATAACTTTGGTTAACGATAAGTTGTGTGGGACAAAAAAAGAGCCTGTCCTGAATTAACACAAGTATTTCAGGATTGAATTAATCACTAATTAAAAACAACTGATCCATTGCTGTAATAGTTGGCAACTAATTCAGTGTGGCAGGAATGAGTTTGTGAATCTTACACAGTTTGAAACTTATTGTGAAGAGTCAAACAGCACCTCTGTCTTCTTCATGATGTAGACTTGTGGGTTTCACTGACGGTCAAGACTCATCCATCTCCTATTCACCCTCAAAGAGAGTGGTTTAATAAGACGACTGAAGCCACTCCTAAAACATCAAATAAGTCTGTGTTGATTCTCCTGTGCCTGAAGAAAGCTTCAGAACCAGGAGGGCAACACCTCCTGCACCTGACTGCCTCCCACCAGCATACAGTGGGGCAAAAAAGTATTTAGTCAGCCACCAATTCTGCAAGTTCTCCCACTTAAAATAATGACAGAGGTCTGTAATTTTCATCATAGGTACACTTCAATTGTGAGAAACAGAATGTGAAAAGAAATCCAGGAATTCACATTGTAGGATTTTTAAAGAATTTATTCGTAAATTATGGTGGAAAATAAGTATTTGGTCAATAACAAATTCAACTCAATACTTGGTAATATAACCTTTGTTGGCAATAACAGGTCAAACGATTACTAAAGGTCTTTACCAGGTTTGCACACACAGTAGCTGGTATTTTGGCCCATTCCTCCATGCAGATCTTCTTGAGAGCAGTGAACACGGACTTTCAACTCTCTCCACAGATTTTCAATGGGGTTGAGGTCTGGAGACTGGCTAGGCCACTCCAGGACTTTCAAATGCTTCTTACGGAGCCACTCCTTCGTTGCCCGGGCGGTGTGTTTGGGATCATTGTCATGCTGGAAGACCCAGCCACGTTTCATCTTCAAAGCTCTCACTGATGGAAGGAGGTTTTGGCTCAAAATCTCACGATACATGGCCCCATTCATTATTTCCTTAACACGGATCAGTCGTTCTGTCCCCTTAGCAGAAAAACAGCCCCAAAGCATGACGTTTCCACCCCCATGCTTCACAGTAGGTATGGTGTTCTTGGGATGCAACTCAGTATTCTTCTTCCTCCGAACACGACGAGTTGAGTTTATACCAAACAGTTCTACTTTGGTTTCATCTGACCACATGACATTCTCCCAATCCTCTGCTGTATCATCCATGTGCTCTCTGGCAAACTTCAGACGGGCCTGGTCATGCACTGGCTTCAGCAGGGGGACACGTCTGGCACTGCAGGATTTGATTCCCTGTCGTCGTAGTGTGTTACTGATGGTAACCTTTGTTACTTTGGTCCCAGCTCTCTGCAGGTCATTCACAAGGTCCCCCCGTGTGGTTCTGGGATTTTTGATCACCGTTCTCATGATCATTTTGACCCCACGGGATGAGATCTTGCGATCGAGGGAAATTATCAGTGGTCTTGTATGTCTTCCATTTTCTGATAATTGCTCCAACAGTTGATTTGTTCACACCAAGCTGCTTAACTATTGTAGATTCACTCTTCCCAGTCTGGTGCAGGTCTACAATTCTTTTCCTGGTGTCCTTCGACAGTTCTTTGGTCTTGGCCATAGTGGAGTTTGGAGTCCGACTGTTTGAGGCTGTGGACAGGTGTCTTTTATACAGATAACGAGTTCAAACAGGTACCATTAATACAGGTAACGAGTGGAGGACAGAAGAGCTTCTTAAAGAAGAAGTTAGGTCTGTGAGAGCCAGAGATCTTCCTTGTTTGAAGTACAAACAAGGAAGAGAGAACCTGCAACTTTCAGAAAGATCGGATTTTGTGGGGATTTTAGTGTCCCTTGTCATCCTGGACTGTTTTTCTACTTAAATCTTTCGGTTTTCTTTGATCCATTTACTGCCACAAACTCTGCTCGCTTCCTTCCCGCTCTGACTCCGCTCTACCACTGCTCTGATCAGCAGCGTTGATTGGTCAGAGCGCGGCCGAGCCCCTCTGTGCACGTGCATGAAAGCCACACACGCGTATTTGGCGCAGCGCATCATGAGTGCTCGTCTACTGCGTAGAACCGGGAGGACCAGACGATGCCCAAATATAGGCGAGTTCTGCTAATCTTTCGGTCTCTGTGATGTCCCATGCGTTACTGAGCACAACCCATTCAGTTGAATAGGGAGCCATCTTGGATCACCGGGGCTTGATACCAGTGTAGATAAGAGGAGAGCCATGTATGCTGAGAGCGGCCGGAACTAGAAGAAGCTCCAACACAGGCTGGAGAGAATAGAACCACCGCCAAATCTGTGTGAGGATTTCAACTGATTAATCGTCCTGTCTTATTGTGTCTGTGCAGGAGCTGAGGGTCTGATGGGGCAACTCTGAGGAAACACATCTGCAGATGAAAGCACTAGACTGGGAAGGTTTGCAGCAGAGGGGGACACGCCTCCAATGAGGACCAGCACCTCTGAATCCAAGGCCACGGTTCTGGATTGGACCAAGATGCCTTGCCCTGTCCAGGGAGTGCAGAGGTCCTTCCTCATAAGGGGACGAGTTCCAGTGTCTCAGGTCTTGCTCACTGTGAGAGTGAAGCAGTGTCAGCAGTGATGCGGTCGCTCAATAGGACTGTTGTGGGAGACCAGATCACAGGTGCAGAGGGAGGAGGCCGGGTTCAGGGGATGTTGTGAGACAAATGATCAAGGAACCCTAAAACTTTTGGAATAGTGAAAATAAAGCTGCATCCCTCTTATTTCTCAAAAATGTAGCAATCTGTCTGTCTGAAGAGCTGGCTAGATGTAAGTTTGCTTGATTGTAGAAGTGAGAGCAGCTCCAGACTCCTCCCATGTCCACACACACAGGGAGGAGCAAGAGGCAGTGAAGGATGGCACTAGATCATACACGGAATCAGGACGGAAGCAAAAGTAAACATAACCAACAACCTAAACTGATAGATCCATACCTGAACTTAACCAGCCATCTGTAGCGTCCTACAGAAAAAAGTCAGTCATATTTATTTATACAGCGCCTCGGGTTTACCCCCTGGCATCTTGTAGACAGTGCCAGGTTCACATCAGTTCATGTGTTCACAATCACTCTCCATGCTTCCCCATTTTGCCCGCAATCTCCATCAAACCTCAGCCAAGTCCTACATATAAGTGTGTGTGTGTGTGTGTGTGTGTGTATGACCCGTTGCCTTTCTGTTACATGCCTCATTCAATCATCCTACTCACATCTATAACTTCTTTGAGCATTTGATTTCAAACACATTACATGTTTTCTGGTCTTTTTCTTTCATACTCCATGTTTCCACACCATACATTTACATTCATACCTCTTGTGATGTTGTTATGTGACAATAAGAATCAGTGGCACAAACATGTGTCCCCTCTCCTTTTGTCTAAATGTTCTTTTAAACTCGCAACACAATATGACAATTTGTGAATTACTCCAAATCATGTTTTTACACCACTTACTCTCAATCGAGCAGATTGTAATGGCACACTTTGACCCTTAATGGAGAGTTTTTTGCTATCATAAAGGCTTTGACAGCACATTTTCAATTAATCAAAATCAGAATCATTTTATTGCCATTTAAGTAACAGGAAGTCACAGACGGTGCAAACAAGTCAAAAGTAGAGAAATTAAGCTTAAGCGTAAATTCTGAATGGAAGACTTCATGCTGCAGTTTCCATCCCATCCAGGGCCAGCCTCTTCAGCCTCAGCCAATCACACAGCTCGGCCTGCCAATATTGACAGTGAAGTGGGCGGTTTGAAGTTCTTGCTACCCACCGCCTCCCGAGCTCCTCCTCTGGCTCCTGCTCTGGCTCCTGCTCTGGCTCCTGCTCCGCCTGGACCCCATTCACATCATGCTTCTAGCCACCACCAGTGCTTGACACCGGGGGATCTGAGGTTATCTTCAGCAGCAAATGATCTCCCCTCTGCAAGTGTCACTGCATTTTGTTCCTGTTCTTTTCCCTCCAGACTGAAAAGAATGAGGCATAATAAAAATCTACATACATATCTAAAATTTTAAAAAATATTTCTGAATGATCAAAAACCTTTCCATCACTTAAGTCTCAGGACAGTTCAGCAAAGGTATTAAGATTAAGAGATCCTCTAATTTAAATGTTGCATCACAAGTTACAGGACAGTGGATAAGGAGCGCACAGCACAAGATAAATGAATAAAAACCATACTAAAATAAAATCTCTAACTCTGGCGTAAAGAGAAGCAGTATAAAATCTCTATATTTAGCATAGTAAAAAAAGAAGTCTAAAATCTCCAACTTTAGCATAATGAAGAAACAAGACTCAGCATATTAAGGAGCAAGTATAAAATGCTGTAAATTCTAGTGCAAGTAATATAAAGTTGTGTGTTAACATCTGTACATTAGCAGCATGAGTCATGGTCCAGCATAGATTACTGCCTTAGTTAGTGGACAACTATAACAATAATCGTTCGGACTGTTGATCCTTAGGCAAGACACTTCACCCATATTGCCTAGAAAGGGTCTTGTGTGAATGGTTGGCGTTTGTGGAAGGGGCCCACGGCACATACTGGTTGCCTCTTCTATAAGTGTGCCCCAGGGCAGCACACCCGGTGGTGATAAACTATCACTGTAGGTTATCACCACCGTGTATATATATATATATATATATATATATATATATATATATATATATATATATATATATATATATATATATATATATATATATATATATATATATATATATATATATATATATATATATATATATATATATATATATATATATATATATATATATATATATAATCAAATAAAGATAAAAACATGTCTCTTATGCTTTTAGCCGAAAATATTAATGAGCGCACGTGAACGCCTCTCTCTGCTCGCTCGTCCCGCCCTGTCTGACCAATCAGAGCGCAGCAGCCCGGTGCAGCAGTGGAGCCCGGACAGGAGCACAGCAGAGCGGCGGAACAGCGGCAGAACAGCGGAGGAGCTCGACCTGCGTGACCGCCCTCGCTGCTTCACCCCCGAGGACATCCACCTCCTGTGGCTCCCGGTCCGCGGCAGCTCAGCCTTCAGCGTCCGGTAAGTGCGTGTGGAAGGACGTGACATCCTCTGCGCTGTGTGTGCAGTGTGTGTATGTGTGTGCAGTGTGTGTATGTGTGTGTGTGTGTTTGTCTCTCTGTGTGTGTGTGTGTGTGTCTCTGTGTGTGTGTGTGTGTCCGTGCAGCCCGCAGAGGAGTCAGGGGGCTGGTGGTTCTCCGCTTGGCCCCTGTCCTCCGGCCCCGGTCCCCGTGCGTCCTGCTGCCGCTGTGGTCACGACAGGAGCTGGGGACGTGTGCGGACAGAGCCGCTGCTAACGCGGCTAAAGGAGCTAGCCTCCACAGCTAACTGCAGTGACATGGACCGTGGACTGAGGGCGACAGCGGCTAGTCTGTGCAATAATAATAATAATACGAATGTAGCCAGAACAGCGTGTTTTAGCGTGTGCGTGTAATAGCACGTGTATACGCCTGCAGTGTCCCCACGTACACGGAGCTGCAGACGCGGATAGTAAACAGAGGGAAACGTGACATGATTGTACTCGGCCTACTGTTATGTGCACTGTTTACTGAGGGATTTGATTAAAACATAACATTTGAAATTGGACTGACAGTGGTACGGGTTCACTGATCTACAATGTTGGGCTTTGATCATCTGCTGGAACAGTGTTATGTCTGGCAAGTAGCTTAACTATAGAATTCAGTTTGTGGACACCCCATGATTACTACAGTAGTCTCTGAGGACTGTCTGGACCAGATCACAGTATCAAGCTGTTTGAACAGAGGAAATGTATTAATAAGTAAGTAAGTAATCTTTATGTAGCGCCTTTCACAGACCAGAGTCACAAAGCGCTTTACAATTGTGGTCATTTGTCTCTCACTCCACACAGAGATAGGAGCGAGGTCTCATAATAAATACATAGGAGCCATTGGAATTAGGGGGCGGGATGACCACTGTCCAGAAATGTTAACAAATGTGCTGTTAACAAATTTGCAGAAATGTCCAGGATCATCACTGTCCTTACACCCTCCTGCATCAGCAAAGAACCATAAAGATCCAGGACTGAGGCTGTAGATCAAGTACTGCCACAGTATCCCGCTCAGAACAGGGCCTTTCTGAGTGGAGTTTGCATGTTCTCTCCGTGTCTGCGAAGGTTTCCTCCGGGTGCTCTGGTTTCTCCTACCACTAAGAACATGCACAATAGGTATGAATGTAGATGAGAGAGTGAATGGATGGAGTTGATTGGGGGCTTTTGATGCGTCAGTGTTTTCGGCGAAGAATCATCTTTTGTCATCACCGTGTGTGGAATGATTGGAACAATAACTTAAGTCTGGTTTGTAAAATGCGCTTTATAAATAAACATTACTTACTTACTCACTTACTGAGGCTGTAGATCCAGGACTGAGGCTGTAGATCCAGGACTGAGGCTGTAGCTCCAGGACTGAGGCTGTAGCTCCAGGACTGAGGCTGTAGCTCCAGGACTGAGGCTGTAGCTCCAGGACTGAGGCTGTAGACCCAGGAATGAGGCTGTAGACCCAGGAATGAGGCTGTAGATCCAGGACTGAGGCTGTAGATCCAGGACTGAGGCTGTAGCTCCAGGACTGAGGCTGTAGCTCCAGGACTGAGGCTGTAGCTCCAGGACTGAGGCTGTAGCTCCAGGACTGAGGCTGTAGCTCCAGGACTGAGGCTGTAGATCCAGGACTGAGGCTGTAGATCCAGGACTGAGGCTGTAGATCCAGGACTGAGGCTGTAGATCCAGGACTGAGGCTGTAGATCCATGATTGAGAATGTTGTTGGATTGACCCATTAGAACAAATGCCATGCTGTAGTTGTGTTGTTAATCATTCTCCTGAAACATGATTTTGAGAACATCCACTTTGGAATTTCATGTTTTTAGCAGAAAAGATAGAAAATCTAACCTGGCAAGAGCCAGATTGATGATTGTGTAGAACTCTAATGCGTTCTCCACAATATCAATCTGGGACTTCTGCAGGAGAATCCTTTCGGGGAAAGGAGGGATAAGCAGCAGAATACTTAAAGCTGATTGGGCGAAGTGACATGTGCCCGCCTACACTCTTGCCAAAACCCGTAGGTAAAAATGAACGAACATCTTTGCCGTCCAGAAATGCACAAAGCGCCTCTCGCTGTTCATCTTTCAAAAAAGAAATTGGAGATTCTGCTAAAACTGACTTGATAGCCTCAGCTACGCGTCCGTCCTCCTGCGTAGCCATGTTTGTTTTGCTTCGGCCCGGCACTTCTTGCTTTCGTCAAACCCGGATATCCCGCCCTAAACCCCCAGACTGGCGCGTGATTGGCTTGAACACCTAGATGTTCTACTCGAAAAGGGTTGGCGGGAGCGGGACAAGATGTATTCTCGAGTGTTTGCGAACTCACAAATACTGCGAGAATTCAGCTTGCAGGCAAGGTTATAGAAAATCATGAAACAGTGGAATGAGCTACACCCCACTCTCCAGCAGTAGTGGTAGTGAAGTAATGACTAAAGATGCAGAGTTCTGGAATGGTGTCTCAGTATTAAAGGTGCCATATTTCGCTTTTCTTCATTTTTCACAGTCCATCCTTCACACATGTGTTATAATAATTTGGGTGATACATCATACAACACTCAAAACCTGTGAAATTATAGTCATTTTGTGCATAGAGGCTAGGCCTGTCGCGATATTCAATAAAGCAATTAATCGCATGATAATTAAAATGAGCTCAATAGTTTTCCTGACTGCGATGAATTCCATTTGCATGCTTGTTTGTTTTCCTTTCTCTCTCCCCCTCTCCCTCTCGGGTCAGAGAGCCGCAAAGTGGTCACTGGTCTAGCGAGCAGACTGAAATAACTCAAAAATACAAAATACAGCTAAAACAGGGTTAGCTTAAACCTGGACTTAACCAGGATTGACAACGGGGGACACAGTAGTTGTTCTCATTCAGGCTCTAGTAGTGACTAAACTAGCGCAGTTAGCGTTAGCGTGTTCGCCGATGCGGAAGTACCGTTTAATAATAAAATAAACTTATGACGCACCTCCGTGAACACATACTGCTGTTATATAAAGTCTCTGGAAGGTCTCTGGACAAAGAGACGCTGCAGAGCTGCATTATTGGCAAGAGCTTTACACAAAAAGCCGCTAGCATGATGCTAACAGAGCTAGCATCAAGCTAGCGGCTTTTTACTTCCGCCACTTCCAGCGGAAGTCAATTAATGGTCCAGCAAAATTTGTAATCGTGACAGGCCTAATAGAGGTGATGTCACACATGGAACGAGTGGATCCAGAGTGGATCACTGCTCCTCTGCCTGCGAGCCCGCCTCCCGGCACCCACACGGTGACGTAGCATCACGCTATGTTTGAGGTAAACAAGTCAGCAAAAGCTAACTGTACAGCTTTTGCTGTTACATGGTAATTTCACACCTGAGAATGAACTTTTTCCAACAATGGCAACCCTTCACATTGAGCCCTAAGTCCTTGATCCAGAATCAGACCCTAATTATTTAGTTCACAGTGACACATGCCGAATTAGTTGCATTGTACTCACAGACCGAGGCTCCTGTTAGCGTCTTTTATGTTGGGAATAAAACCAAGTTTCCAGATCAGCTTTTGAGTAGATCCCGTTTCAAGGTAACAGTAATTCTGGAACAGTCAATGACTGGACCAGCGTGTCACAGCGTTCACATAGTTTTATACCAAGACAAAAAAGCATAAGCTCCAAGTATTGCCACGTAACCAATAGGTACGCTTCGACCGACAGATACCAAAGCTGGTCAGTACAACAGTCTGTAGAAGTCACTACTCTATGGTATTTTTTAAACATAGTTGCATAAAAAGTCTTACAGAAGATCCATAGTAGTAGTTCTTGATTACCACATGGTCTGTTTATGCAGCAGTGCTATCTGACCTCTCTCTGGACAGTAGCCAGTCAATTTTCCATGTTCCCTTTAGACCACACATTTGGTTAATACACTGGCTCCGATGAGCAAACACATCACACATTCAAAGAAGGGTGAAACAGTGGAGTAAGTAGTGATCATGATTTTGAATACTTTAATCTAGATATACTGATTGAACATTTGATCATGATAAAACGCTGATAGCTTAGAGCAAATTTCTCCGGGAAGACACAATAGACAGAATGAAACTGACTTTATTTTGCTTCTAAAATGCTCTCTATGGTTACGATCATGCTATCTACGCTGATGACTGTCCATGAACCTTTATATAATACTGACTTTTCTCCTGTACAATGAGCCTGCTTGTCCCACAGACATGATTAGACTCACTGTCCCGGGACGATATGAGCTGATAATTGGCTGTGCTCATAATAAGCATGTCAGTGTACACAGATTATTCCACTGTCCCGTCTGCTGCTGGTTCCTCCCGGCACTCGCTCTCCACTGCACAAACAATCTGTGGTTGAGGTGGGAAATATAACATGGTGTGGTTGTGGACTCGCAGTTGTAAAGAACATTTGAGAAATCCCCCAAAACTCATCGAGAGGCAACACTCTTGTTTTAGTAGGCAGAAACAGCTGAGGGTTCGTCATAGCGTTTAGGTAGTTTGAGAGCCGTGCATTTAGACAGAGGGGGCAGGGAGACACGTGGATGGAGCTTGGGCTGTAACAAGTTGATCGATTAGTTGCAACTAATTGATGATTGAAATAGTTGGAACCTAATTTAGTAATTGATTGATTGACTTAAACATGTGAGAAGTGAGATTGGATAGTTTTAGAATGACTGCAGAATGAAATGTGAATGAGAAGTATTTTGAAAACATCACTGGAGCCAAGTTTTGGTCCAATATAGAAAACATCCCATAGTTTATACAAAAGAAAATACAGAACAATTAGAGAACAGGGAGTGATTGAAAAATGAAATAGAAAGAGGCACAGAAAAAGGTAATCAAAAAGAGCATTTGTTTACATTTTTAGTATTAAATTGGGTCTCTTTGCATTGGTGTATGTTACCCTCTTATTCCAACAAGAATCAAACCAACCGTGTGTGCCATTCACAGCAGTCAGCTCTTCCATTTTATACATTTCTA